CCCGTTAGGCAGCTGCCTCTTCTTCTCTCTTTCTTCACATTCCCCAAGCCTCCCACATTAGCACATAAGTTGTGGTCTGGGACTGAGAGCATTGTGTTTTTTAAACAGTTAAATCTTTTACTGCACACCAATTAAAATTTAAAGTCTCTCTCTTACACACACACGCCCGCCCGCCTCTCTTGGTACAAAGAGCTGATGGCAGTCTGGTGTTTACTATTAGAAACAGAATTTTAAAATCCAACGAGAGAAAATCCAGTTCCTCATTCCATTTGAGTTTCCTTATTAAAGTCCCCCTAAGCAAGAGCTCGCCGTGCCAGGATCCCCGAGTGCCTCCCACCCACATGCTCCTGCTCCTGATTGCCTTGGCCTTCTCAGCTGTCTTTCCCTGTGGATACACATGGGTGTGTCGTGTTATTCCTGTCTCAGAGCTCTGCCCACCCACCCCACCTGCAATCTGTACATCCCAGATTTTAGAACTTTAGACATTGTCCTGTTCCACCACCAAGAGACCCTGACAATTCTGGGTTTTTTTTTTTCCCTGGATCATGAAGGATGAAAGAATGGGACATCAGTCTGCACTCTGGCCCCTTATTCTACACAGGCTGATCCAACAATAATAAGGCTTTAAAATGACATTAAAAAGAGTGTCTGTGGTGTACGGATAGGTGTATGAATGTGTTTACACGATACTGGTGTGTTCATGTGTGTGTGTATTTGAAAGTGTATTTTTGGGCACACAGTCTATGTATGTTTGCCTCATACATACATTACAGCCTGTCTGCTTAACTATATTTATTGACTTGCTCTGCTACAATTTTAATTCCCCTGACTTTCTCAAAGTAGAAAGTTCCTCCCTTTCCAAGATTTATCAGAGCTGAAGACGGCCCTTCCAAATGTGCTTGTACATAAACAAGCATGCATACGTACGTGAGCGCACACAGACAAACACACTCTTTCCTTTTAGAACTGCAAGAACAAGGAAGAACACACAGAGAACTGAGCCTGATTTTGCTGGACACACAGAGGAGCACAGAGTCTTGGGAAGAGGCTGTTACAGGAGTCAGAGGTGGTATCTGGAAGGCACCAGAGAAATCCACAGAGCTCCTGAGTGCTGAGCCAGGTACCAGACCAGCGGTCCTGGGCAGATCTACCTCTTGTTAAAAGGAGCACTCTCAGTTCAGCTACTGACTTCCCTTGTAAGTTTGCAAAAGCCACTTAGTCTCGCTGGGACTTGCCTTCCTTTTCTCAAATGGGAAATATTCTTGCCTTTCCTTTGCCTTATAGATATATTACTCCAAAAGCAATAGTAGGGCCACTCACCGGGTCCTTACTATAAGCCAGGAACTGTGGCAAACACCTTAGCATACTTTCTCATATAACCCTCGCAATCATCTTCTGGTGACTGCATTTATGTGCTGTTATTATTTGCATTGATCTGATGAAACTGGAGTTCAGAGATTAACTAAATCAGTGGAGGTCACACAGCTGTTAAGTAGCTGAGCTGGGATCTGCACAAAGGCAGCTTGACTTTGCTGCACCAAAGGTTACATGTTAATATGAGCAAACGTTGCTGCCCTCTTTGAGAAAACCACGGAAGATTAATTAGGAGAACGAAAGCACCTTGGAGCCCACGGCACGTGTGAAAGTTTCTTGAAAGGTATTACAGCAGAAGATGGCTTTTCTCCTCTTGAAATTTTCATTCTGTATCCGTGCACTCTCCTGCACCTTTGGAGACCAACAATCCGCTAATTCACTTTCCAGAACCCATGTAGCTGTGTCTCTGGGTGATCATAACTTGGTTGAATCAGCAGGCAAGCTCCGCCGGTCTTTGGGAAAGATGTCATTAGGTGGAAATGATGCCAAATGTCACACGGGGGGAATCTATCTACAAACACCTTTCCCTCCTTGCCACAGAGCAAGCATTCTGTGCAGCCACCAGCTCCTTCCCAGGTTACCTTTCTCTCCAGACTCCCCAGCCCCATCCAGATGCTTGTGCCAGTGAAGAGCAGACCCTTAGGAAAGCAGGGAGGAACATTCGGGCTGCTGTTGTTGCTGAAAGCGCTCACATTTCCTGACAGGTGTTTAGAATCCAGAGAGCAACAGCCCTGCAGCTCACAGGTGTCCCGTCCTAGAAGCCCACTGAGTAATTCTACGCCTCACAACAAGATCAACAAAGATTCACTGAACATTTACTTTGCATAGAAACGTCAGGCACAATAAAGTATGTGTCCATCCCAAAATTACAAAAGTAGGGCAGGAAAAGACCAGGAAAATAAATAAGTGTTTTAATAACGCCAATATAGGACACACTTAAATATATCCCAAATAAATATAATTTAATTGTGGCTGGAATACAGTTTGAAGTTTTTTTCAACTATTTTCAGCAGATGTTTTACTTTGACACTTCTCAAGTCCTTAGAACTATGACGCAGATCCAAGATGGAACCAAAGCAATTCCTACTGTGGATTCCTGGTGGCTTGGATGGATAGGGTAGACATAATATAGGATGGCTAGTACAGATGCCAGATAGTTTTACTTGCTGATCCTGGCAACCACAGATAGGTCCTGAAATAGAAATTAAGTTGCCAATCTGATGTAGACTGAAGTTCATCCCTGAGTTTGTAAAACTGAATTTGTGAACTGAAATTCATCTTCATTAGAAAATGATGCCTTTTATTTTTAGCATCTTACAGTGTAGGAAGTGCCTTCACGTAGTCTGTGTCATTTGATTCTCCCAATGACCTGGTGAGATGAGAAATGTGAGTCTAATTATTTCCAGAAAAAGAAACAAGCTCAGGGAAGCTAAGTCCAATGCATACTCTACATCCATATGGGCCAAAGCTGTAACCAAACCCGCCTCAGCATCCACTCTGGGACCCTGGCTTGCAACTGAGTCCCAGCCTGGCCCAGGCTCCAGAATCCCAGAGATGACATCACCCACTTCACTTCCAAAATGCTTCTCACAAACTTTTGGGAACCCTGAAGTTGCAAGTGCATCTGCTTCAGAGCACCTCTCTCTGGTCCACAGTGGAGCCAAACTACACATTGATTTCTTCTGGTGGGGGGTGGCCACAGTTAAGTCTCTGCTGCTTGTGGCTTCTAAAATGACTTGGGATAGGTCCAGCTACTAAGCCTCTGGTTCATCATCTTCCAGGCCTGGTGACACTCGCCTACAAATAAATGCACAGCTTGATTCCTCCTTAGCTTGCAAAGGATGGCAGGGAGGCTGATTTATGGGAGAGAGAGCTATACAAAGAGCGAGGTCAGGTTTTCAGGGATGTCTTGGAGACCCCTGAGGAGGTGAGGCTCAGGAATGCACCATCCCTTCACTCAAGGCTGCTGTGTGCCTGGGGGAGGCCCCCTGTCAGAGTTAAAAGTTTTACATATCCTAAAATCTTACTTACGTATATCGGGTCAAAGGGAAGGGGAAAAAATAACCCAACCACACTCTAAAAGTTACCCTGGGCTGTTGTCAGCAAATGGGCTGCAGCTGTTTTTGCCAGTATAAAAGTAAGTGCTTCTTTTCTGTATGTGTAGGAAATAGAGAATATGATTCTGGAAAAGCTCCATGATTACTGCTGCCTACTGAGATAAAAATTTCATGCTTTCACTCTACATAGGAAACTTCAAGGGCAGGTAAATATTCTTTTTTTTTTTTTTTAAAACTTGGTGTAATGAACCAGTTTTACTGTTATTTTATTTTTAATGTCTTGATGTATTATAAATATTACTTATTATCTACCAAGCGGTGGATATAAACAGTAATTGTTCATTACTGGTGGACACCATTTCTTAGGAAAGCATTTTCTTGATGGGGAAATGAGTCTAGGAGAAGTTTATTTTGTGATGATTCTTGTAGCAAAGGGGACAGAAAGCTCTGCTAGCCCGCGATCTGAGTCTGAGCTCTTCTTTCCAGAAACTTTGGAAGGAGGCCACTTTTGAGGAGATGGTCCAGTGCTGTTGGGCGTCAGGACTCTTGTGTGCTCTGTCTGGTCAGGAGTATTCTGTTCAGAGTGTGGGGCCTCACAAGCCTGGCCTCCCACACTGGAAGGAAGGTCACTAGGACTAAGCACAGTACCAGGATTCCAATTTCCTTTCTTTCTATCCCCGTCTAGGACCTTGTACATGTGGAAGTCTGCTAAACCCTAGCTTTAATTAGGGGCCTTGTTAAGACTTAATGCAGTCAAATAAAAGATCTAGCCTTGGAATTATTCTCTATCCATGTCTGTCCTTTCCGCTGCTTCCCCGCTCCATACCCCATGCCAAGGTTCACTCATTAAACTACTAACAATTGGGCTACTTCTGGAAAGTGGCCCATATCAAACACCTTTAGAATCCCTTCAAAACACATCTGTAGGAAAGGTAAGGCTCCTCTTTTAATTTGTCTTATAATAGCAGGTTGGGAGCCTATGTAAAGCAGCAGTAAAGCCAAACTGTGAGGGACACAAACTCTGTGTCAGACCAGGAATGAATCCTGGCCTTTGCCTACTAAGCAGATCACCTTGAACAAGTTACTTAACTTTGCCTGAGTCTTACTTTTTGCATCTGTAAAGCGGAGATAGCACTACAGGTTGGCTATCTCTAACCCTAATACCTGAAATCCCGAATGCTCCAAAACTTAAAAATTTTTTGAGTGTCTCTATGATGCTAGAAGTGGGAAATTCCATATCTGCCCTTATGAGACAAGTCATAGCCACCATGCAGATACGCTGAAAATATGGCATATAATTCCCTTCAAGCTAAGTGTGTTAGGTGTTTATGAAATATAAATGAATTCTGTATTTAAACTTGGGTCTCGTCCTCAAGATATTTCATCACAGATATGGAAATATTCCGAAATCTGAAAAATAAAATCCAAAAGTTGTACCACTGTGATCTTCAGCACTTCAGATAAGGGATATTCTCTGTACTTCCCACTGAATCAAATGTTGATTCCGTTAAGAAACAAAGGCACGCCAATTGCTCAACCCAGTTTCTAGCACCTAGCAAATGCCGAAAGTGGAGTATCCAAGGGGGCTTCATGTCTCACTGCATTGCTCTATCTAGCAGAGATTTTGTGAGATGGACCTGGAGAGAAAAGGCCCGTGTATGCTCCTGGCCTTGAGAGTTGCCCCATCCTACTGTGATGTCATCATTGGAACTACAGCCAGAGATATGAACTCCAACAACCAGTGACCCAGGCCCAGCTCCCACACATTCTCATCCCTAATCACACACTGTGCCTAGGGCTTCTGCCTCCATCCCACAATCACGTGAACCCGTTAAGCCCAAGGCTCGTGTTCGGCAGTGACTTGGGGAAGCCAGCATGTGTGTGAGGTGAGCACACAAGGGCCTCTGAATCAGATGGGAAACACCCTTCCCAGGGAAGCTGAAGTTTTAGCAAAATAGGATACAGGCAGGGACATCTCTTTGGCTCCATAATTAAAACTGAAACCTGAGACCCTGCCACTCTAAGACTTGACCACAGGTTTCACTTTTCAAAGGGTTACCTGGATGCTTATTAAAGGCTGGCTTGTGCCAGAGATTGGGTTACTCCATCTCAGCAGCTGTTTGACCTCTACCTCTTGCACCTATTCTGAGGGGAAGATGATTGTGGAATTCAACCCCAACAGAATAAGTGTCTAGGGCATTCAGGGCTCTGGGTACTTCTTTGGTGGGCAAATATATTTTGAGCAAGCCTGGCTCTTTCTCTTTGTTTAAAGTCTCTGATCCATCTCAGAAAATCTCCAAATATAAAGTTAAACACCTCTTAGCACCTCCGAATGTTTCCCTTTTCTATTTTCTCATGCAGCTTACCTCAAAGCATCTCATGTATATATGTGCTCCCTCGCTTTTACTCCTGCCCCTGGACCACCAGCTCCATGAGAAGGGGACACCGCCTGCAGTGTTCATGCAACAGACCCAGCACACACCAGTGAGTATCTTTTTTTTTTCTGTATTGAGTTTATTGGTACATTTTAGGGATACAGTACAGTTACATTCATCATTGGGATCCCGCACCTTTACATGACAGGTCTTGATTCTCATTTTTTCCCCTTGTCCCTGCCCTCCCTTCACCCCCTCCTCCCCTCCCCATGTACAAACATTTTTTTTTCATTTTCTCCTATTTTTTCTTTCCCTTATTACCGTTCCCCTAGCTTCCCACTTTCCTTACACCTTTAGCCCTTTTCTTCCTATTTCACATTGTCAATTATCTCCTTAGGATCTTATGTACTATTATAGTTTGTTCACACCTGAGAAACTATTCGGCATTCACGTGTGACTTATTTAGTTCACTTAGGAGTATATCCTCAATATGTATCCATTTTCTTATGAATGAATCTAATTTGTCATTCTTTATGGCTGAGTAGTATTCCATTTTATAGAAAAACCACATCTTCTTTATTCAGTTTCCAACTGATGGACAAATGGGCTGTTTCCAAGTTTTAGCTATTACAAACAAAGGTTAAAACTGGACCCTTATCTTTCACCATGCACTAAATTAAAATCCAAGTGGATTAAAAATCTAAATATTAAAACAGAAATACTAAACTTGCTGGAAGATAAATTAGGCAAAACTCTTGAAGACACTGGCATAGGAAAAGACTTTATGAACAAATCCTCAGTAGCACAGGAACTAGCAGAAAGAATCAACAACTGGGATTTCATCTTAATAAAAAGCTTCTGCACTGCAAAAGAAACTATCACCAGTGAGTATCTTAAGTGAATGAAGGAAAAGAATAAAGGTTCATAAAATGCGGCCCGAAAACCAGGGAGCCTGCCTGCCAGTGGTGCTTGAATTGATTACAGAGAATATTCTGTTGAGGAGGACAGTAAGGCATAAGGGAAGAAAGAGAAGGGAGGAAGGAAAGAGGAAAGGGAAAGAGAGAAGGATGTAAGGGAACAGAATTATGCTTTTAATCTAGATATCTGATGCTTTATGACACATTCATGAAAGGACCATAATCCTTATGACATGATATGCAAGGACTGAGTGACTCAAGAAAATAATTTTATCTGGTAGCATCACCTGCCGTTATACATTCATACCCTTTCTCTCACTTGCAAGCTTCATGATCCCTCTCCCTGTCTTTCTCCCCTCCTCTCCCTCTCCCTCTCCAGCAATTCCTAGTAAATTTTCTGACCCAAAATTGGCCAGAACCTGGACCTAGGTTTGTGGAGTGAAAAATCAGTATACATTTGATCAGAGCCAAGAAACCTGGGGAAGAGCATGGTGAGATGGAAGAGGAAAAAAATACATGCTGACCAGCCTGGGCTTTCCTTTGGCTACAGCCCCAGTGGACTAAAAGGCAACAGGTCAAGATGGGTGTGGACCTAACTTTCCTCACAGGGGTAGAAAAGATGGCCACACGTACTTTGTTTTCTTCCTCTGAGCTGCAAAACAGAGTTCTCAGTCCATGGGGCCAAGGGGAAGGAAAAGAAACAGGACAGAGGAGGCAGAGAGTGACTGTGTTTGCAGGAGGACTGAGGAGCAGCCTTAGAAGACTGCAGTAACTTTATTGGTTACAGAGTGAAACTTCCTCAGCAAAATGTGGTCGTGGATGAGCCTCCCTGATCCATATGAAAACAGATTACAAACCAACTCAATGAACAAAACACAACAGCCCTAAGAGTTGATGTATTTGGCCCAGTGGGGCTTTTCTGTGTATTAGGAAAGAGCAAAGCAAGAGCAGGTCTGGCTCATCTCCTTGTGACAGAGCTACTGCCCTCCCCTCCCCCAGTGGCTGTTTCAATGCTTATGACATAAAGGCTCCTGCAAGCGTGGACTTCAGGGAAGGCTGGTGACCCAGTGCCCAGCAGGAAAGCTCCTGCAGGTGTGTAGTAATGGCTTTGGGTGCCTCTGCTAAATGCTGGAATTTTGAGTTCCTGCATCCACTTGGCAATGGGTTTCCAAAAACCAGCACATGTCAGTCTACACAAGTTCATTCTAGTAGGGACCAGCTGAGAAAAGTTTCTGCAGCCCTTACCCAAAGTGATACCTAAAGCACAGCTGTATAATTTTGTATAGTCAACCTCTCAGGAACTTTCTAACCTTGTTGAAAAATGAAGATATTAGAATAGTTACTCCATTAGGATTCTCCAATCTAAACAGTATATACTTCTATAAAACACATTGTTTTCTATATCCTTTCTTTTTCTCTGCCTTGATCTTCTGTTCTTCTCTCTGCCTCTCTTCTTTCCTCTCTTTGCAAAGTCTCCCTCACCTGCCCCAAAAGGAAACCAGGGAAGCCAGTAAGTCAGGAATTGTGTCCACAAGGTTTGGACACAACCTGTGATTATGATTTAACTGTCTAGTTCTCAGGCTTTAAGACAAATCCCCACATCTTGGGTTGAGTGATGAATATTAAAAAACAAGGCAGTCAGCAAGCAAGGGTTTCCTGGTTTGGTCTTGAGGGTACAGAGCTATAAATGCAGTCCCTGCATCGGGAAGAGCAGGTTAATAGAAAAGAAGGTATACAGACAGAAATTCAGCATTTCTGCACCAGAGATCAAGACAACCTAATGGATAAAATGACTAAAATGACTGATATATCATGCTGATTGTGGGGAAGTAAATTTTTTGGATCCAAACAGCATTTTGAGGAGAGGCATAGTAACATGTAAGCTTAGCAAAACTAGTAAGTAATACCACCATTCTCCACTGAATGTGTCTTTTCCACAAATGGGGAAATCAATCTATTCTACCCACTCAACACATAAGACATGTAGTTATCATTTATTGAGCACCGGATGTTATCATCTGTGCTAAGCTCCTTACAGACACATCTTATTTAATACTCTCTGATATAGGGGATTGGTGTTAAGGACAAGTTAATAGTCACACTCTACCCTTCTCTGTGCCCTGGTTCTTTTATCTGTGAAATGGAATAGATAAAAAGAATATACTCCATATACTCAATGTGATTTTTTAACAATTAAAAATTATGTAAAGCACTTAAGGTATGCTAAAAAAATACAGTAAATGCTTTATAAATGTTATGATTTTCTTGGACACCTATTGAGGATATACTCCTAAGTGAAATAAATAAGTCACACATGTGTAAATACCGAATAGTTTCTTTGGTGTGAAAAACTATAATAGTACACAAGATCCTAATGGGATAATTAAGAGTGTGAAACAGGAAGAAAAGGGCTAAAGTTGTAGGGAAAGGGGGAAGGGTAGGGGCAAGTAAATAAGGGAAAAGAAAAAATATGAGAAAATGAAAAAATGGAAATAAAGTGTCTGTAAAGGGGGAGGAGAGGAGGGGGTGAAGGGAGGGCAGGGACAAGGGGAAAAATGAGAACCAAGACCTGTCATGTGAAGGAACAGGATCCCAGTAATGAAAGTAACTGTATTGTAGACCTAGATTGTACCAATAAACTCAATAAAAAGAAAAAAAAAAGTTATTATTTTCTCACACAAGGCTATTTTAATTCCTAGAGAGCTTAAGTTGCTGGCCCCTGTCACACAGTTAGTGTGGGCATTGAATCCAGCTCTGTCTCTAAATTGTACACTGTGCTGCCCCTTGTGTTATGCTATCACTGCAGAGCCCAAGATTTCTTGATGACAACTTCTGTAAATATTCAAGTAGGGATAGGGGTATAGCTAAGTGGTAGGGGGCTTGTCTAGCACACAGGAGGCCTGGGTTTGTTCCCCAGAACTAGAAGGTAATATAATCATCATTATCTACTACTACTACTATCTCTACTACTAATTATTAGTATTCAAGTAAACTCAGCCCCTTCTATGTGACTTCTCCTGCATTTCAGCTTTTTTAAATCACTATTGATTTGTGGTTCAAATGATTTTGCCCCAGAAAGAAGTCAGGCAAAATTGTGACACAGACAAGCAGGTCTTAATTGGAGTTGGAAACATGCATGGCCTTTACTTTGGGGTGGGTAGATCAAGCCCAAAATGCCAGACAATAGGACAAACGACACAGCACCTGCAGCCAGTTCCTCAAGGTCAGCAGTTGTGTCTCATGTACCTTTGGATGGAGATGGGGCCAAATGTCCGGAAGAAACGCATGACCTAGAGGCCAAATGTCCGCAGTAATCCTAGGAAGGGTGGCAAGAATGGTTTGAATAAGCAGCCTTGTGAGGAATGTGTCTATAGAAAGTTTGTCTTTGAGTTTGTCAATAAGGAGATTGTCCACAAGGAAAAAAAAAGCCTAAGGAATAAGTTCAAGTATCTTCAATAGTTTACGTGGTTTATTTGCTTTTATAAAGAAGAATCAGAGAAGTAACCTGGAGCCACTGAGATTCAAGGAAAGAGAACTGAGCATTATTAGCTGGAGGAAAATTCTGGCCGGACAAAGAAAGACCTTTTTAAACACAGGCTGCTAAGATTGCTAGATTCCACCACACAGTGAGGTTATGGTTGTACCCATAAATCTTTCAGAAGCAATTCCAAAACAAAACCAATCTCTCTGCTGCCCCCTTAGAATCCTGTATGCTTCCTGTTTATACCACTGTTCCAGAGTTACCCACATCATTTATATTCCAAAAGCTTATGGAATGCAAGTTCTCAGGCCTCACTCCAGAATACTGAGTCAAAATCTGTGGGAGACTGGGTGTAGTGCCTGCAATCCACATTTCTAACAAGCTCCCAAGGAGATTCTTACGCACACTCAAGTCAGCAGGCAGCCCTGTATGCTTTCAGGGAATGAGTCAAAGCTAGTGCAAGCCCCTTTCAGCTTGCAGATCCCTTTCAGCTTGAGTTTTCTCAATGTATACATCTTCCCAAACCCAGTAGAAGAGTTCTGGAAAGGATGGTGAAATGAAATCAAGTCTGCCTTTGTGGGGGAGATGAGTTCCTCAGCTGCCCAAGCACCATCCTGTGCCCAGGGCACCGCCCAGACACCGAGCTGGGGAAGAAGGTTCAGCTTTAGCTGTTTGTCCATTTCCGCACAAAGGCGAAGAGGGGGCTGCCAG